TGATATTTTTATTTAAATTAGAATAAACCTTTCCTTGTAATTAAAGTGACCTATCACCATGCCTCTTATTGTTATTATTATTATTTTCAATATACATGAAGTTAAAATTAAAACCCCAAAGTCGAAATGTTTCGACTTGAGGAAACTCCTCATTTGATCCCCTTTCTGCGTAGCAACCACCACCAAATTTGAGATATAACTTGTATCTGCTTTATGAAAAATTAATAGAGGTGGGTTTGATCGAAGTAAGTGTTAAAGTCGAAATCTATGAAGCTGTTTGTAAAATATATTTAATGAACGCTTTATCAATTATTCAATAATCATATAGGCGGGTTTGATCGAAGTAAGTGTTAAAGTCAAGGTCTATGAACTTACAAATTGGGTTTGCAAAATGAACGTTTTATCAATTATTCAATAATTATATAGGCAGGTTTGATCAAAGTGAGTGTTTAAGTCAAGATTTACAAAGCTTGCAATCCAGCTTTTCAAAGTGAATGCATAGACGTGATCAAAGCATTTTAGTGATAAACAAATAATCAATTCAATTGTCAATTTAATTAAACATGCAACACTTTAATAATGTTCAATTCTATTGTCAATTCATTAAGAAGTAAGCGAATAATAAATTCAATTGTAAATGCATAATGCTTTTCTTAAAAGTAAACAAATCAATGGTCCAAAAAAACAGGACATCTGATAATAATAGTAAAAAATGTTTAGTAATAAACAAACAAATAATTAATTAAACACATAATGCTTTTCTAAATCAATGGTACGTTCCAAAAAAAAAAAAACAAAACAAATGATAAATTGTAAATTGTAAAATGTTTTTAGCATTTTTAGTAATAGGCAATTGTCAATTAACAAACTAAACGCATAACTATTTTTTTAAAAAGCAAACAAAATCAATGGTACAATCCAAAAAACGGGACAAATGATAACAAGCTTATAACTGAGAACGCATTGTGAGCTTTTGCTTTTTGCGTTACAAAACACACATACCGTGCTATGCGAGAATAAAAATTCAATCAAGTTGGGTTTTGCGTCTTCTTCGTCGCAAAGAGCAAAAAAATGACATCACTCGGGCCAAGCAATAGTCTATTTTATTAAATTCAAAACATATAAATAGGACAGCCGTCCAAACTTTTTTTTTTGTTATTTTTTCGTAGAGGACTTCTTCTCAGGCCATTTCAGCGCACGGAATTTAACCTTCTACATTCGGCCACATGAAATAATTGTTCGTTATTATTATACAACGTTATTACAGGAGACCGTTCTGGTAACACAAGGTTTTAACCCACCAATTAAAATCGTGAATTTAAAAATCAAACATTTAATGTGGGTTTGATTCATTTTATAAACAATCACTTCACGAACAATTGTTTCATTAACAAATGGTTCGAATTTAAGAAGTTAGAAGCAACCATTTGAAATAGTCTAATAAATTAAATCGTACTACTCGAAAATGTATTGCAATTGCAACCTTTTTATAAAACAACATCTGCCGTACGAAAACGTCGATCGCGCCAAAAACCGAAAATACCAAGCGCAACTAGACGCAAAAGGAGACAATCGTCGAGAAACCTGCGGAAGTCGCACGACTTGCGAGTTTTTGAAGGAGATCGTGACACGGAAAATGGTAACTCTTTTTTTTGTTCTTTGCAATTTGCAATTGCAAATGCCTTTGGGGTGTCAGATATAAGTATAACCAAATAATAAAACCCTAATAGTAGAGATTTTTTTCGATCATTTTCATAAACTCAAATTACATAGTGAAACTCGATTTAGCGGATAATTTTGGCCACTTGGTAAAAATTTTTCAAAAATCCGTTAAATCGAGATTTAATTAGTACATCTGTTATATCGAGAAAATTTACTATATAAAATGCAGCCTAGTTCTGAGCCTCAATCCGTTAAATCGAGATTTTTATTAGACATCCGCTAAATCTAAATTCACTGTGTACTACTAATTAATTAAAGAAACGTAAACTGTTATAACTCATCATACAGATGAGGTTTTTTAATTATAAAAAATGTTTTGAACTCGCAGAATATGTCTCTATAATCTAACAGAGCCATATTTATCAACATTAATGTACTTTCATATTGAAAATGCAATGTTTGTCATAAATTCTAGATGTCTACTAGTGCAAAATTTAAAAAATCATAAAAAACGGCGTTGTTACGTTATAGATACGGTTCTTGACAATTAAAAACACTTTTAATTTTTTTTTCTCGCTTTTTGCCTTCAAAGTTTATAAACATTTTAAGATTTTGATTGTTAAAATAAGAAAATTGCCTTTGCATAAACTGTTCTAACTCATCATAATTATATTTAAACAAAAAAAAATAGCATTGTTACGTTGTAGATAAGGTTCTTAGAGATTAAAAACACTTTCAATTTTTTTTGTAGCTATTTTGCTTCCAAAGTTATAAACGTTTTAAGTTTCCGATTGTTAAAATCAATTTATAATTATTAATATTAAAGAAAATCGCATTCCGTAAAAACTGTTATAACTCATCATACAGACAAGAATTTTTAATTCTAAAAAATGTTTTGAGCTCGAAGAACATGTCTCTACAATGTGACAGAGCTATATTTTAAAAAGACTTATTACGATGATGTATTTTTATATTGTTTTGTCACAAAGTCTAAATAACTGTCGATACATATAAATTTAAAAAAAATTATATTAAAACAAAAAAATAGCGTCATTACGTTACATAAAAAATATTTAGAAATTAAAATCATTTTCAATTTTTTTTCTAGCTATTTTGCTTCCAATGTTATAAACTTTTTAAGTTTCCCGCTTCCTAACATATTCGTGTGGTACGAAACTTTTACTAATTGATTTTATTCCACTATTTCTATGTTTGTGATTATATCTAACACTCCAAAGTGCCATCGCCTTGCCTGTTATTTTCAATGACGTTACAATGAACTTCCGCTCTCCTAAATTTTTTTTTATTTGAAAAATGGTTCATTATATAATAATAGTTGAATAAAAAATATGTTGATTGTTGATCATCTCGTAATAATAATAATATTAATATTCTCTTAAAGTTTTGATCATTCTTATTGGTCAATTTAACATCAGCAAAGTAAAAACAGTCAATCGACCAACTTTTAAAGAAGATTTTACAAAAACCACAAGGACAACAACTGGGATTTTTATTATAGATTAATCGGCTGAATCTCAAGATCATTTTCGTATTAGAAAGTGATTCCCTCAGAAAAAATTTATCGGCTATCAACAGCTGATACTAAAATTAATTTTGGCAAACAATTTTGGATTTACAATATTCTTTATATCAATAGACATAAAAAAATTACTCAGAATTTCGGTCATTGAGCTAAAGTGTTCAAATAGTTTCGGATATAATTTTGACAAATAATAAAGTTGATTTCGGCAACTATGAAAAACTATTTAGCATTTCGAATTCGGTGATGATAATTTATTAAGAGAGGCAATTTTGGCTGGCATGTTTAATTTAGGTATAATTAATTACTTTTTTGGTAAATATATTAATCAATTATTATTTATTATCATCAGTGTATATATAAAATTCAATGTGAGGATTACACACCAAAATTTATACACCGTTTATTGGGGTATTCGATATTGGTTGATTGACAAATCTAATTAATGTCATTAAGATAAATCTAACAACAGGAGAGAACGTCCTATATAAGGAATAGATTTTCACAATTGATTTCAATTTTTTTTATACACTTTATAATACTTTTACAAGGGTATTACGTAGCCCATTCTTACAATAAATCATGTGCAAATAATTACGCAAATTTGAAGCTTTACACTTTGTTGTTATCATATCTTTTGAATCCCTTTGAATCCCACAACTTTCATAATACGATT